GAGAAGTCAGTCCTGTAGATATTGGTCAGAGGCTGATAAAAGCACAAAAATTCTTTTTAAGAAATCTAATAATGTCAAATATTTCCCATGTTAAGCTGTTTATCCTTCTTTTAAAGAAAAATATAATGTCTACCAACAAGATTAGAAATGTTGATGTGAGTATCGGAATTATAGTTATCCATATAATATAATATTTGGTGACACTATTAGATACCAAAATAAGAATGAGAAAATAAAAATTGATATGCTCTATTTGTGCTTTAATAATAAAGTGAAAGTCAGCTATTACTCTTTCGGTTACCACTAGAGAACATATCAATCTGAAATAAAAGCACTCTAGATCTTCCATTCTATAAATCTCTTGAATATGTTACCTCTTATTCCGACTCATTTGATTACTTCATTGGTTCATCCAGCAAGCATTTATTAAGCACAAACCTTATGCCAGAAATTGTGCTAGGTCTGGCAATACTCTGTGTAAGCATGGTACCTTCTATTATAACTGTGACATTTACTGCTATATTAATAGGCCTATTGTTAGATCATTCATAAGTTGCCATTCCCACACAGTTGTCTCAATTATCCATGACAACAAAGATAAGCCATAAGCCATGGTTACAATAATGTGAAAGTGATTAGAACTTCACCTTAAAAGGTATTTTGTGGATCCTTAGTGGGGTTGAGGAAGGTGGGATTACAAGGAAAGGGTACTAGTATGTCTTGTTAATGATTAGGCTTGAATGGCACATCAATTCCATTCAATAAGAGCAGGAAAGATGAACAATGTATTAGGCTTGAGTTTCTCAAACAAGGGGTTTTGAGAAACATAGGGCATTATTAATTTTATATTAAGGCAACCTATTAAGGATCTGAGGCAACTTCTTGTCTTGAGCTTGTTGTTAAAGGTTCAAACTCTTAATTCAATGTATGACCTTGTATAATGAGTTTAGTTTTCAAATTTAGAATCTCTCCCTCTCTTTCTCAAGATTGCTGGGAGGAACATATGGCCATGTATATAATGTGCCTGGCACAAAGGGAACACTCATTGAATGTCAGCTCTTCATTTGCTGGAGCCAATCCAACATGTAACATCAACAGTTGACTCAGATGTACTCTGGGATAAATGGTTGTGCAATTGTCTGTCTTATACAGGCCATGGGCACACAGTGCACAAAGGAGATTACTTTGGTTAAGAAAGCCCTAGCTAATCAAACAGTTACCATAGACCACGGTGTGTCAATCTCAACACTGTTGGCATTGGGAGCCAGATAATTCTTTGTGGTGGGGCTGTCCTGTGCATTGTAGGATGTTCAGCGGCATCCCTGGCTTCTACCCACAAGATGCCAGTAGCACCTCCATCCCTAGCTATAAAAACCAAAAATACCTCTAGACATTGCCAACTGTCTCCTGGTGGGGGGTGGGGGAGTAGAATTACCTCCAGTTGAGAACATCAACTTAGATGATAACCTTCAGTCCTGGAGACCTGGTAGCTTGTCCTGAGAATCAAAGGAAAGAAGGTGAGTGAAAATGAAATTACCTGGTGGCTTGTAAAGTCCAAACCCTGGAATTCTCAGTGCTGCATGCACTTTTCTATCATCTGGGGAGATTTCACCATCCTGAGACCCAGGCCAAACTCCAACACAGTTAATCAGAAACTCAGTGGGTAGGATGGAGGCAGCAGTGTGTTTTGAAATTTCCTGAGTGATTCCAGGAGACGCCAGGGTGAGGCCCCTCTGCTCTAAGCTGAGATGTAATTCTCAGGACTGGGTGGTAGACTTTGCCATTTGATGAGAGGGTCTGAGCCTATGTCTCTACATGTATGCACAGCATTAATTCACATATAGCAAACACAGCATTTGCTGACGGCACACCATGTGCCAGTCATGGTGCTGAGTGCTGGAGAAGCAAAGTTGACAAAGAACTGCCCTTGAAGGAATTATAATCTGATCAGAGAGAGTCTTGAAAAGCCCATTGAGAACGGCCCTGATAGAGTCTGCACAGAGAAGATCATAGGTGAGCGTATTTGTGCAGAGTACATCAGATAAGCCTTTCTGAAAGACATGAATGTTTTCATTTATTATTAAACAGCTGGAGCCTAGAATTTGCTGCTTCATTTGAGTATAAACTTTTGCTAACAGTCTAAGAATTGGAGAAAAGACTGAAATGTAAATGAACATGAAGCCCTCAAACATCTGGAGGATTATCAGTAGAGAAACTTCCATCTCCTGTGCTACCAGCCCTGTCTGATAAATGAGCAATTTGATTGGCTATTAGAGCGTAAATCACTAATTCAGGCTACAGAGTATGGATGTATATAGTCTTTAACCCAGTGATCACATCTTAGATTTCTAGATGTTTTCAAAATGAACAATTGTTTTCCAACATTTTATTATTAGAAATTTCAAATACACAGAAAAGTTGAAAGAATTTCATGGAAAACATTCATGTTCCCACCACCTAGATTCCATCATTGACATTTGGCCATACTGTTGTTGCTTATCACATATCCAGCCATCTGTTTGTCCCTCTGTCTGTCTATGAATCCAAGGGGTGCATTTCTTTCAGTTAGTTCTCAATGACAGCAATAAAAGAGCAAGGGCTGCTTTGAAAATTGGTGTTATTTCTACATTTGTTATGAAGCATTATCCTTACTTGTCAGTCGATTCACATAGGGTGGAGTAGGGTGTTGGGGGGTAAAAGGGGGTTATGCCTCCAGTTATTAGAAACCAATTCTCTAAATTACTGTACTTATTCTAATAACTCTTGAGAAATCGCCTTTAAATTTGCTTAAACATTTCCTGTGGTCTTTGTAGATAACCTCCAGTGGGGGAAAAAAAAAAAAATTGAAGTGACCATGTTTGCCCTAAAGGCTTTGGTTAGTTCACAAAACCTGTTTCCTCAGCGGAGAGTTGCTTCAAATAGACTTCCTCCCTTTACAAAGGCTTAATGATTTGTGTATTGAGTTGTTTCTTTCTGAGAGACATCTCACAAATACTCCAGCTGGGAAAAAGAGATAAATTGCTCCATCCGAAAGTTTAAAAGAAGAATTTTTTCAGGGTTTTGTAACTTGGACACTTGGTGTTCTGAAAAGAATGTCTTTGTGCCTATTTAAAATTGCAGAATCCTTTTCAGGTTGTTTCTAGGCGGTTATGCCAAAGAAGTAGCTCTGTAATCCCCATTTGTCTTTACCTGACATCAAATTCCGCTTTGCGATGGAGAATTGTTCCTTGATTTGACATTCTTTTAAAGAAAAATGAGCCGGCATTGAATTCTTAGCTGAATACCAGTAGTTGGTGTATGTGTGTATGTGTTTCCAATTATAGACAGAACCTGGTATAGTACTTTCAGCTGAAATCTTTGATGAAGCTTATGAAAATTACATTGATCCAGATGGGATAGAAAGCTGTAAGACTGGTTGCACAAAGCCCTCTGCAAGATTTGTCTTATTTCTTAATGTTACACATCTTAAGCTCGAAAGAGAGGGAAACCTGAGGCAATCATGGCTTAAAATTGCCCAAGATGTCTCATTGGCTAATTCGGGTACCAAGTAGATTGTGGGGAAATGGGGACAGCTGGTAGTATTTAGTTTCAGTAATTAGGGATTCTCTTTAGGTTATAGAGAACTCTTAGAAATAAAGGTGAGCTGCCTTGTCAGGGGAAGATGGCTTCCAACCCAGCCGTGGAAATAATCGGGCTGGGCACGACTGCTCATGCCTGTAACCCCAGCCACTTTGCGAGGCTGAGGCGGGTGGATTGCTTAGCCCAGGAGTTCCAGACCAGCCTGGGCAACATAGTGAGACCTCATCTCTGCAAAAAATAAACAAAATTGGCTGGGAGCAGTGGCTCATGCCTGTAATGCTAGCACTTTGGGAGGCCGAGGCGGGCAGACTGCCTGAGCTCAGGAGTTTGAGACCAGCCTGGGCAACATGGTGAAACCCTGTCTCTACTAAAATACAAAAAAAAAAAAAAAAAAA